GCTGGGTCCCCCGGCCTGCGCACACCTCAGTCTGAGTTGGGGAGCCCTGCCTGCCTGGCCTTCCCTTCTGGTGGCTCCGGCTGCCAACGGCGGACCATGTTCCCTGCTTCCCACCCCTCTTCCATGCTGGGATCTCAAAGCACTGACTGTAGGGCTGTGTGGGCGGCTCTGGGGGACGTGGCTGATGAGCTGTGTGCGCAGCCTCTTTTCTGGCAGGTCACATCTGAGCAGACGCTTGAGAGAAGAAAAGTGGAGGAAAGAGCTGACAGTCGCTGGGCATCTCCCTTGTGCTTGTGCTGTGTCCTGTCGGCACACACAGCACGTCCACCCGGACGTCTGCTGGGCACGAGACACTTGCTCCAAACCCTGCTCCTCCCCCCGAACCCACAGCAGCCTCTGCTCTCAGCTCCATTCTTCCTGTTGCTCGGGCCCAAACCCTCAGGGTCCTGCTCAGCTCCCGCCTCGCAGTCCGGAGGCAGTCCTTCCGCAGGTCCCCTAGGCAGACTCCTCCAGAACCCCACCACTTCCCACCCCCACTGCTCCCACGCAGGCTGAGATACCACCACCTCTCTCGGAACCTCTGCGTAGCCTCTGCCCACACAGTCAGTTCTCAACACCGCAGCCAGAGGGAGCCGTTTAAAATCTGCGGTATCACATCACTCATCTGCTTGAACCCACCCAAGTCCCAAGGGGCCCCAGTGTGGTCTGTTGTGCTTGGTGCCTCCTTTCCAGCCACACAGGCACTTCTCTCCAGTTCTCACTTCTGCCTCAGGGCCTCTGCTCCTGCTGCTCCCCTGCTGACCTGCTTCCCCGGATTCCCCATGACCAGCTTCCTCCCCAGGCCTACTTGGGACTTTTCCAAGAAGACGTCACCTCCTCGGGGAGGCCTTCCTAACTATCCTGTTTAACATTACCATCCCCCTCCCCCCTCCGTGCTTTATTTCCTCCACTGCACTTGCCACCACCCAACACTGCATATTTTATGAACTTGGTTGTCCATGCTGCCCCTCCCCACCTTGTTAAAACGCAAGTACTGTGAAGGCAGGAATGAACCATCCGTTCTGTTCACAAGACTCTCAGGGTCAGTAATGCTTCTTGGTACATAGTAGCTGTTCAATAAATAATTGTCAAATGAATGACCGGAGCCAAAGTGAAGAGATTACAGAACTTCCTCACCATCAGAGAGCCTGCTAGTGGCAGCACCAGAATCTAAACCTGGGTTTGTCTGGCTTCTAATTCGGAGTGAGGGTGGAGCGAACCTGGAGGAGAACGGAGCGCTTACAGCCCCGGCCACCGGGAGGGGCAGGTGGGGGCCTTTCCAGCTAGGAGAAGAAAGGAGTGAGGTGGTCTCTGAGTCTGCGCAGAGCCACTCCAGGAAATTGCTGTGTGATTCTGAGCAAGTCAGCTCCCCTCTCCGAGCCTCAGCGTCCCCGAGGGCCAGCGAGGGGCTGGAGTGGGGATCTGTAAGCTAAGGTTCCAGGAGTCCAGCCCGTTCTTGCTGGGGGCACAGTGGCCTCTGGGCAAGTGGCAGTTTCCTCCTGGCCTGAGTCCTCCTTCCTCCTGTGCCATCCACTTCTCTGGTGCCAGCAGGAAGTTCTGGGTGGGCCAGTGTGTGCCTGGGAGGAGGTGACAGGAGGCAGGCTGAGGACTTTTTGGACTTACCTGGGCAAGGGGCAGGAAGAAGGCCCACTGAGCAGTCTGCCTGGCCACCCACAGCTCCGGAGAGGGCCGCACCGCCCCACACCCACACCACCCGACCAGGCCGGCAGCCCCGGACGTCCATCTCCCTCTTCCCCTGGCACCAGTTGCACGGGGACAGCCCCAGATGGCTCTCTGGCCTGGGGACAAAGGCCACACTGTGCCCAGCCCTGGGGTGGCTTCAGGCTGGGTCACACTGAGCCCTTCTGTCCCCATATGGGGGTGGGGGCAGACGGCACAAGGTGACAGGTCATTTTCCCATCTCCCTTCCCCCTTGACCCCCTAATCTGAGGAGCTGACTCTCCCAAGGGCAAAGTGACAGAGGCATCTGTGTCTTGAGCTCTGGGACAACAGGCCATTCACTGCCCCGGCTGCCCTGTCACACCCAAGGCCCCGCTGGGCTCAATGCCCTGATTGTCCCCTGCAGAGAGAGGCAGCTACTCTTGGCTGTGGTCACCACCCCTGCCACTTGCCTCCTGTCACCAGCCGGAAGTCTGTCCCCACACCGGACCTCCATCGGGCCTACACCACTGACAGCCACTTCCTCCTGGTCTCTCCTCAGGCCAGTGGAGACCAGCTGGTCCCCAGCCCTCTGTACTGCCCAGCCCCACATTCCCGCTTGAGTCAGCTGTCCCCGGTTTCACCCTCCTTCTGGCTCCCTGTCTCACCATCCCCTGCCCTGCCCAACCCAGCTGGTGGCTCCTTGCTTCTAACTGAACATGAAGACAGCAGGTACGGGCTAGGTCTCCTTGTGCCTGCAGGAATTGGAGGCCTCTCCCCCAAAAGGCTTTCAATGAGCTCCCCCGACCCTCCTACACGGGCAAGAGCAAGGGCATGAGATTGATGGTGGCTACTGGTGGATTGCTGAGTCACAGGCCCATCGCTCCATCCCCTAAATCTCAGGCTGCAGGACAGCTTTACGGGGGGCTCCTGTTGTTAGAAGCGGGCATGGCTGACCCCTCTTAGTAGAGCTCAGAGCTCAGGGAGCCTAGGGCCTGGCTCCGCCCACCCCCCCATGGATCATCCTGATTGAGCCTCGGCTGTCAGTTTGTGCCAGGCAGACATTTCCTTCCCTTCTTGGGGGCTCTCCTGCACCTCCCCAGCTCCGAGGAGTCCCCATCTCAGCAAGTGTGGCAGCCCAGAAACCTGGACAGATCCCTCTCCCTTACCTGGACCTCAGATGCTTCCCTACTGTGGCTCCCTGTCCATATCGTTGGGGACGCTTTTTAGTTTTTGTGTTTTGTGTATGTCTTTTAACCTTCACCCGAGGACACGCTTACTGATTTTGGAGAGAGGGAGAGCGGGAACATCGGTCAGTGGCCTCCTGCACGTGCCCTGGACACCAGGCCTGCAGCCCAGGCCTGTTTACTGACCAGGAATCAAACCCATGATTTTGTGGTTTGCAGGACGATGCCCCAACCAACCGAACCACAGTGGCCCGGGCTGGGGATTGTTTTAAAACCTGCATTTTCCCAGTTGCCATCCTCAGAGCCTCAGTTCTAGAGTCTGAGGGTGAGACCCAGGAACCTGAATTTTTTACAAAACATGCTGGTGCTGCTGATGTTCCGCCAACATTGTAAACAGTTGACCCATGTACAGGGGACACCTCCACCGTCCTGTGACACTGGGAGGTGTGGTTCCACAGGGAGGGCGTGTCTGTGTCCCTTGTCACTGGAACTCGTGTGACCCCTCTATTACGGTGCCCCCCACCCTGGGTTGGCCACACACAGAGTTCGAGAGGGAAGGCTGCTGCAGGAATGAGCTCCCAGGTGGGGCGTCGGGGAAGTGCACCTTCCCACCTGAAGAGGCTTTGCGAGCCCTGAGCTCCTCGAACAGGGACCACGCTTCACTCACCACTGCAACCACAGTGCCTAACACAGTGCCTGGCCCATGGTAGGTCCTCGGTCCTTGTTTGCAGAGCCAAACTGAGTGAGACTTCAGGGCCCACTGACAGGGAGGCTTAGCTGGCAGGGCAGAGCCAAAGCCTGCATTCTGAGAGGTGCAATCCTGAGGTCGCAAGTGTCCGGTCTCAGGGCTCAGGAACTGGGTCCAAACTTAGGTGCTTTGGGGGCAGCCAGGAACATTCAGGGTCCTTTCTGGCTGAGGACAGAGGATGTGATCATTAAGCAAAGCAAACATGTTACTGACCCATAATCCCTTAAACCAGAGGATTCAGGAGGTGCCTGGTTGCCTTGGCAACTGGGCAGTGGCCAGTGACAGTGCTGAGAGCATCTTCTGGAATAGGCTGTAGCTGGTGCGTGGGTAAAAGCTGGGAGAGAGTACAGGGTGGCCCTTCCCATCACAGAAATGGCCCTGGTGCCTTCTTGGCAGGTGAGGGTGGGGCCCTTGTGGGACCTCTGGGACCCAGCCCCACTGTAGATGGGTGGGTGGGGGGGTGGGCAGAGCAGGATGAGAAGGCAGCTGCAGTGGGAGCTTAGGAAATGATAGAGGGGAGGAGGGACAGCCCTGGTCTGGGTTTTCAGGGCAGGACGGAGAAGGAAGGGTCCGTGAGAAGACTGGGATGCACAAGTCTCATTGGGAGGCCAGCGGGGTGTCCCCTCAGAGGGCAAGAGGGTTGAGGAGCTGAAGGGAGAGAACCCCTTTTGGCTGGGGAAGAGCCCAGAGGGTGAGCAGAGAGGCCTGCCCTTCCCCCACTGTTTTCTCCCAGTCCCTCTGTTTCCAGCCAACTTCTATGTTTCCCCGGAGACCTTCAGCTGACCCTGACCTCCCAAATTTCAGCTGGAGAGATGAGGCTGGGCCAGCTCAAATGCACACCCCTCCTCCCTCGTCCTTTTCCTCTTATTTCTGTTTCCTGGTGACCCAGGACAAGCCGGAGAGGGACCTCCGGGTATTGGTAGTAGATGAGATGGGGTTTGGACCACTCTCTGTCCCACTGATGCTTAGCTTCTAGGCCTCAATTAGTGAGGCTTACTGGCTGCTGACATGTCCAAGCTCGTGCACCCAACTTGGTAAAGAGCTGCTGGCCAGAGGGCCACCTGGTTCTGGTGCCCTCCCTGCCACGCAGGCTTCCTTGTCACTTCATGCTGCTATTATGAGCAATCCTTTGTGGGTTTGGCCCATCCATGTGGAGTATTTCCCTGGGGCAGGGAGTCCTGGGGGCACTCCCAGTGTGGCAGAGGGTTGGGACCTCCCCTCCGGGAGCTCAGACTCTGGCTGCTCAGTGCGGGGTGGCAGAGCTTGCTGGGAAGATGGAGTCTAAGGTCTGGAATTCACTTTTGGGGTTGACTGGCCCCCCATTGTCTTGTTCTCATGGCTGGCTCTTCTCACTTCTCCCTTCTCAGGGCCCTCTGCCTGGTCCCTGCTGATCATGAATAAGGTGAAGAACTTTAAGCGCCGCTTCTCCCTGTCCGTGCCCCGCACCGAGACCATTGAGGAGTCCTTGACTGAGTTCACAGAGCAGTTCACCCAGCTGCACAACCAGCGCAATGAGGGTGAGGGCTGGGGCCTCCAACCACGGCATCGCCCCAAAGCCCCTCCTCGCCCTCCTCCACCACACCTTCACTGTGGTCTTGTGGGAGGATGGAGGGAGGACACAGATCTCCCCTCCCCTTGGGGCAGGGGGGCAGGGTGGGGAGCTGATGCCTCTCCCTCACAGACCTGCAGCTCGGTCCTCTTGGCAGAGACCCCCAGCCAGACCCCAGCCCCTTCTCTCCCACGGACAGCGGGGAGGAGACCGGGCAGCCGTCCCCTGGAATGCACTGCCGGAGGCAGAACCAGCGCCGCTTCTCCATGGAGGTGAGGGCTTGGGCTCCATCCTGTGGATGTGGCAGTACGCACCCCCTACTGTGTGCCCAGAAGGGTGGTGGCCTGGGAACCAGACTTCATGGGTTCAGGTTCCAGCTCAGCCATTGATTATCTCTGTGACCTTGAGGAAAGGTTTTCAACCTCTGTATACCAGAGTCTCCTTGTGTTAAAATGGTCATTGTGAAGGTTAAGTGGATTAATATATGCCAAGTGCCTGGAACATTCCTGCTGCATAGCAAGGGCTGGACAACGTGACCGTTGTTCTTATGACCCATATGTGTGCACCCAAGTATGTGAAAGGTGTGCTTCCAGAATCATGCTGTCTGCAGGCATCAGTCTGCAGATGGTGATACTGCTGGCCCAGAAAGGGGGCGGGGCCTCCAAAGGTCACACAGCACCCAGCCCACCAGGTGTTCATGTATGTCTTTGAGCACATCATTGTGAGGCTGTGAGCATATGGCTGAGCCCTGCCGGGTGGCTCTACAGGGAAAGTGAGAGGGTGAGAGGGTGAGAGGCCAGGGTCCCCGCAGCACTAGCTACCCTGGAGCAAACACTGGTGTCCACGTCTCACCCCGACCACTGCAGGACGTCAGTAAGAGGCTCTCTTTGCCCATGGACATCCGCTTGCCCCAAGAATTCCTGCAGAAGCTACAGCTGGAGAGCCCAGACCTTCCCAAACCGCTCAGCCGCAGGTCCCGCCGAGCATCCCTGGTGAGTCCCAGGATGAACACGTATCAGCCCTGCAGCGGGTTCTGGGAAGTTCCTGAGTGTCTGGTGCCACCTGCTGGTCACAGCAGATCCACATAGACCTGTGTCCTTGGTCAACATCCACTCCATAGATGGATCTCACCAGGGCTGGGGCTGACCCCTAAGGCTCCTCTGTGCCCCGGGGTCTCCAGCAGGGTGAGATCAATAGACCAGCTGGTACATGCTGCCCATTCCTGGCTGCCTGTCAGGTTCCTTGGGAACATCTTCCAAAACACAGACTCCAGTCCCCATTCCAGATACCCACTATGTCAGACTCTCTGGGTGGTAGGGCCCAGGAATCCGTATTGTTAAGGGTTGGGTGTCGCTGAGCTAGAGGAGGTACGCTGATGAGAGAGGCTATTGGGGTGGTGGGTTCTGAACTGGACATCGAGAGAAAAGACAGTTCCTGGAGCTAGTAGCCTGAACAAGATGGAGACAGACCAGGGGAGGTGTGCTGAGGCCTCCCCAGGCGCTAGGGCCCTGGGCTCCACCCTCCCTGCTGCTGCCAGGGCAGGAAGCAACTCCCACCTGCAAGGGCTTCCTCCTGCACCACAGGGACGAGGGGGAGGAGAAGAGGAAGGACGTGTGGCTGTCCTCACCCCTGCCAGCCTCAGTTGTTCCTTCTTCCTGGGGCGGCCTCAATTCCTGTCCTCTCGGAATCTGGAGTCTCAGGGCTGCTGGGGCTTCAAGCTCACAGGACCCTGTCTCTTCCTCTCTCAGTCAGATATTGGCTTTGGGAAACTGGAAACGTACGTGAAACTGGACAAACTGGGGGAGGTAAGAGGCTGGGTTTGGTCTTCTCAGGGTGGCCAGGCAGGCTGGCTAGGAGGAGGACGGGTCTCCCCCACCCCTCCCGGCGCCTGCCCCACAGGGGTGCCGATCGTGGCTGTCCGGCCGGGCTCAGTCTTTGGCGGGTGCTGAGGTGGGCCCAGGTCCTGGCAGGGTATGAGAATGGAGTTGTCCGTGGGTCCTGGGCAGGATCCAGGCTTTTTTCCCCACAAGTATTTCTTGTCTGAGTTCGAATCCCAGCTCTACTATTTCCTAGCTTGGTGACCTTGGGCACATGATGTCACCTCTCTGCACCTGCCTGCCTGCCTTTGTCAAATGGAGCTCGTATCTGTTCCCCCTTAAGAGTTATGTGGATTGAAGAGGTTCCTGTAATAAGCTTTTGTACAGCAAACACTTAGTGCCTGGGTGTAGTTCAGTACTGTTAGCATCTGTAGTCACTGCTTCAGGCTTTCTGCCGGAGGTGGGGGTGGGCAAAGGTATACAGAGGGGAGGAAGAAGGCCCTTTCCCTACACATAAACATCAACCACAGGAAGAACCAACTGGCATTATAACAGAGGGGCAGCTGGCCTGGGAGGAGTTAGGGACAGCTTCACAGAGAAATAAAGGGAAGAGAAGGGGGAAGGGCCCTCCAACTGAAGTCACAGTCGCAGCAGAGGCACAAAGCGCTGGACAGAGGAGAGCTGGACCTGAGTGTGGCTGGGGCTCCGGCTGCTTTCCCAGGGCACCTACGCCACAGTCTTCAAAGGGCGCAGCAAGCTGACGGAGAACCTCGTGGCCCTAAAGGAGATCCGGCTGGAGCACGAGGAGGGGGCACCATGCACAGCAATCCGCGAGGGTACAGCACCCTAGGGTCCCCAACTCCTGAGCACCCCTGGGAGGAGGGGCTCATTGGCTGGAGCCCCAGTGGGAGCCCGGGGTGGAGGCCACTGTAGGAGTCGGGTCAGGGGCCGACCTCAGGAAGAGAGGGCACGAGGGGCACGTGGGGCCCCGGGAACCCAGCGGGCCTGTCTCCCCACAGTGTCTCTATTGAAGAACCTGAAGCACGCCAATATCGTCACCCTGCATGACCTCATCCACACGGAGCGGTCGCTCACCCTGGTGTTTGAGTACCTGGTGAGTTGGGACCTTCTTCCCCTTGTGGTGGTGGTGGGGTGGCAAGGGCGAGGGAGGTGGGGGGTGCCCCAGGCCGTGCTCTAAAGTCAGGTTCTCAGATATTTCCCAATAGGAGTGGGCCCAGCCCCAGGCCTAGGGGCAGCTTGGAGCCAGGGACCTGTCCCATCCCTGGGCTTGGGCCGTACCCAGGGAGGGGCTTGCCGCCAGGGGTCAGCACAGGCCATGGCTGAGCTGGGCTCTGTGTTCCAGGACAGCGACCTGAAGCAGTATCTGGACCACTGTGGAAACCTCATGAGCATGCACAACGTCAGGGTGAGGGACCCCACACATTTAGGCCCCTGTCTATCTCAGCACCCACCTGTTCTCAAGTCCAGTGTGGGAACTCACTCTCACCACCAGGGACCCGCTGCTGCAGTTGCTTAGACCTTCCATGCCGGACGGAGGGAAGGAGGGTGCCGTCCAGAGAGGGCCAGGCCCGGCCTTACCCTGCCACACAGACATGTACCCCCAGCCACCCCCTAGCTGTGGATGCAATATAACCCCCCAACTCTGAGCATCAGCTTTCCCATCTGTCACATGAGAGCCTCAGTTACCTGCTGGGATGAGGCAGGCCTTTGGGGAAGCTCAGGAGGATGAATGGTCTCTGGCGTGCCCCAGAGTCCAGCACACGCACCGCCTCGGGGTGGTCTCCCCTGCCGTTCGTGGCCCTCAGCTCCCCGGCTAGACAACCGGCTGTTCTCCCCCGTCCTTCTCACCTCCTCTGCACACCTGGTGCCCTCCCCTCTGGACGGGGCTCCCTGGGCTGATGGGGCTGCAGTGTGGGCAAGGCAGCTCTCTAGGTACCTCACCCCTGCCCAGTCCCTGTCCTCATCCGAGTCCCAGCCGTGGGGCAGAGGGGCAGGGTCTCCCAGATGGGACATGTTCCCACCTTACACTGCTCCCCTTTCTCTTTCCTCCTGCCTCAGATTTTCATGTTTCAGCTGCTCCGGGGCCTTGCCTACTGCCACCGCCGCAAGATACTGCACAGGGACCTGAAACCCCAGAACCTGCTCATCAACGAGAGGGGGGAGCTGAAGCTGGCTGACTTTGGTGAGGACCGGAGCCCCCGGGGCCCGGTGGGGGTTGGACGGTCTCCTCAGAATGGGGTGCTGCTGTGAGGAGAGGTTCAGTGCCCTGTCTGTCCCTAGGCTTGGCCCGGGCCAAGTCAGTCCCCACGAAGACCTACTCCAACGAGGTGGTGACTCTGTGGTACAGGCCCCCCGACGTGCTGCTGGGCTCCACAGAGTACTCCACCCCCATCGACATGTGGTGAGTGAGCGTCACGGGGCCCGGGGCAGGGGGACCTTCCACACCCCAGACTCCCCGCCGCTGCCCGAGTCCCCCTGTGAAGGGCAGCCTCGCCTCCTGTGACCAGAAGCGATGCGCAGCCTGTGGGACTGGCTGTTGGAGGATGAAGTCTGAACCACACTGGGGTCTCCTGTCTCTAAATAGACCCCCCAAGGTGTGCTTGTGAAATATGCCCCATGGGGTTACGGAAGGGCACAGGAGGCCTCCACAGTGAATATGACGGCCCTTCCCCAAGCATCGGTCCTACTGAAAGTTTTGGAAAGCGAAAATGGGCATTGTTTATTGTTGTAGGATGAGTTTTAAAACTGAGGCACAGGTTCCGATGAGGGGCCCCTGCGCCCTGGGCCAGGCTGCTTAGAGACCTGTCACAGAGTGAAAGGGGAGCGGTCAGAGCGTCCTAGAGCCCAGAGATGCCCCCCAGAGAGGGGCTTCAGTGGGGGGCTTGGCTGTGCTAGGAGCCCCTGCTGTCCTGGGCCCCCACCCCGGTGCCAGGACTTGTTGGAGCCGCCGTGGGGCGGGGCGTCGCAGTGGAGCAGCCCTCAGAAGGGAGGGCGCAAGGAGGCCCAGCCTGACGCGCCCCTGCCCCTTGCTCCCCGCAGGGGCGTGGGCTGCATTCACTACGAGATGGCCACAGGGAGGCCCCTCTTCCCGGGCTCCACAGTCAAGGAGGAGCTGCACCTCATCTTTCGACTCCTGGGTCAGTCTCCTGCGCTCCCCCAAAATGGCCACCAGGGGCGTCAGAACTCCGTCTAGCCCTGGTGCATAAAGGGACTGGGAAGAGCAGCTGCACCTGTGGCCTTGGCCATTTTCTGCCTCACACTGCACGCCTCCCAGTAGCCTCCCAGTAGCCTCCCAGTCGCTCTTGGCCCTGGCTCCTTACCATACCTCCCCACCCCCTTCTGTCTCCCCAGGGACCCCTGTAGAAGAGACATGGCCTGGCGTGATGGGCCTGTCCGAGTTCCGTGCCTATAACTTCCCCCGGTACCTCCCCCAGCCACTCATCAGCCACGCTCCCAGGTAGCCTGCCTCCCCACACCTTTCCTGCAAAGTGGCCACCCACCACACCCTCCCCACCCCGCCCAGGCCAGGCCTGTGCCAGCTCCTTCCTCCTGCAGGTTGGACTCTGATGGCATCAACCTCCTGACCAGCCTTCTCCTGGTGAGTGCGCCCTCAGCTGGATCCAGGAACGGGCACCAAAGACCGCTGAGGCCCTCATACCCCACTCTGGCCTTCTGCCCACCTCTGTGCTCATGCTCACAAGTCCGAACTGCCCCCCACTCCTTATCCTCCACCCCACCCCCACCCAGGCCCAGAGGAGCGCCAGTCTCCCCAGATTTGGAGTGGATACACTCTGAATTCGAACCGCCGTTCAAACCCACTCACTAGCTTGGGCAAAGCTACAGAACTTTTCTGTGCTTCAGGGTCCTCGATGGCCAAGTGGAATTAATCATCCATATTTTATAAGATGGCAGCGAGGCTAAATTGAGGTTGTAGAACACACTTCATATGGGGCATGGTGTGGTGGAAGCACACCACAGAGGATGCCTGTTGGTCTCCCATAGTGGTATTACTGTTATTCACGGTATGGCTGTGGTTGCTTTAGCATCTGCATTTCTGTCTCGATAGGAGGTTACTCTTCTGAAGCCCCGTGTCTAGTTTTCTCCTGGTGGGAGCAGGCACAGTGGACCCCAGGGGCTTCTCGGCTTAGACTCGGGCCCCTCCATATTGGCCATTTAACTTAGCATAGCAGTAGCGCTTCCCATAAAGGTCCCTGCAGCCCCCTAGCCGGGACCCAACAGACCCCTGTGCTTTTCAGTATGAATCGAAGAGTCGCATATCAGCAGAGGCAGCCCTGAATCACCCCTACTTCCAGTCTCTGGGAGAGCAGGTGCACCAGCTCGAAGACAGTGAGTATCGGGGAGGTTGGGGGAGGGAGCAAGGCCACCCCAGAACCAGGAAAGGTGGCAGCAGGTGTGAGTGGAAGAACTGTAGCAAAAAGGCCAGAGGCCCTTGGTCCAGCTGTTGCAGCCTTGGGCACAGGGCTTCCCCTCCTTGGGTTCTCATTTGTGATTAAGAGGCCAAACTGTGGCTCTGAGTTTCTGCCTGAAAAGCCTAGTTAGCTGCTCCTGGCTAGTCCTAACTGAAGGGGTTCCCCAGCCATGGGGGGCCACAGGCCCGAGGAGCAGGGCCGGCTCCACTCAGTTCTCTCCCTGCCTTCTTCCTCTCTCACTGTAGCCGCCTCCATCTTCTCCCTGAAGGAGATCCAGCTCCAGAAGGACCCAGGCTACCGGGGCCTGGCCTTTCAGCAGCCAGGTAGGGCCTTGTGCCTCCACCACTGCCCCTTGTTACAGAAGGCCAGGACAGACAGAGGAACAGAGATGGGGCCCAGCGGCCCCTCGTGTGATGAGAGATCAGCATGGCCTTCCTTCCGGGGGCTCGTGGGGAGCAGGGAAGGGGCGGGTTTCCCTATCTCTGGCTCAGGCTTCCTCCTCTAGTGTCTCCCTCCTCAACCCCCACCATAGACAGAACCGGGCTGCATCCGACAAAGCCCTGATGAAGGTACATGCTCTGGTGTGTTCTCTGCAAGTCCTGAGCTCTCTGAGTAGCCTGCACCCTGCAGGAACTGTACTGTGCACATAACCAGCTGATGGCCTTGGAAGTGTCAGGCAGTTTCCACGCATCGTCTCACTGAATCCTTAGGACCCCTTGAAGTTGGTACTGTTAGTGTTCCCCAGCCAGTGAAGCTGAGGCTGTGCGTGGTTAAGACACGACTTCATGCAGCTCCTAAGTAGCCGAGCCAGGGCCGGAATCCAGGACTGACCAGCTTCCGGGCACGTGCTCGTGCTCACTCCAGCCGCAGCCCTGGAGCATGCCCTCCCCCAGGCCCAGCCTCCTCCCTGCAGTCCCTCTCGTCCCCTCTTTTCTCCAGGTCGAGGGAAGAACCGGCGACAAAGCATCTTCTGAGCTGTGCCCACCCGACTGCGGCTCGCGGGATGAGAGGTCTCGCCAACCACAATTGCAGGCAGGAGGGGGCTTCCATGGCCCTCAGAGGACCCAGAAATGAGGGCTAAGGCCGGCCCAGAAGATGTCTTGCTGGCCACAGCTGTGTCCTGACCCTGCTTCCCACATGACTCCCCAGCGGGCCTTTGCCTGGACAGCAACCTCTCCATGACCTGCCCTGGGAGGAGGTGAGGGGGGGAGAGAGGGACCTTGGACTCTTTCCCACCCTGAAGTCCTCGTCATCTGCATGGGATCCACAGGCACAGGAGAACCCAGCTGCCGGGCTGAGCACTGTGCCCTGGACACGGGCACCACCACGCCTCCCTCAGGGGCCCCCCTGTCTCACCAGTTTGGTCGAGCCCCTTATGGGAACCTCGGAGCCCACACACCTTTCACCTTCTTCCCCTCTGAGAGCAGGAAGCAATGTGGCACCTTTTCCAGAACCTTGGAATCCTTGGTACCAGTGTGTGTGCCAAAGCCCGCCCCCCGCCTGAGGAGCTGGTATCCCTGGAACAACAGGGGAACGGCAGCCCCCCCCACTCCCAGTCATCACCCCGTCCTGTTCACGCTCCCCACCCCTTGCTGGAGCCCCCCCATGCTGCCGGGTTCCCAGCCGAGCCCGGAGGTGGCTGGTTCGGCCAGCTGCACTCCTGCACCTCCGCCGCCCTGCCCGTCTCCCTGGCCTGAATGGGGCTGCCTGAAGGTGGTGGGTGGAGAGCACTCGCTGCCCTTGGAGCTCTGGCCCCGGCTCCTGCCTGTCCACCCTTCCCGAGAGCGGCTCCTGCTTATCACGCCCGAGTGCTGATAAGCCAGCCCTGGGCCGGGGTCCTGAGGACAGCACCCAGATAGGCAGGGTCACCCTGACATTGGTGCCAGCCTGGCCTCGGCTCTTTAGGGCCCGCACAGCCTCCCCTGTCCCCTCCTTTCCAGCCCATGTGGCCCTGTCCTTGCCGCACCCAGTCCTGGCACCAGCCTCCCCGAAGGGTGGTCACGAGAAGGCAGGTGTAAATGCCACAGTGACGTAGAGGAAAGTGGGATGGGACAGACAGGCTTGGGTCCTGAGAGCCCTGCCCCAGGGGGCTAGGAGTGTGAGGGGCTTTGGCCCCTGAAGAAGGCACTCCTTGGCACCCCTTCGGAGCCTGTTGTGCCCCCAGGGCGCCTCCACACTTGGCTGAGTCTTGAACAGCCAGGCCGGGCGGGGGCCAGGCCCGACCCGTCCGTACCAGTCGGCCCAGCCCCACCCCTCAGCCCGAGGAGCAGCCCCGGAGGGTCTTGGCCTTTGTGTCCCTCCACTTCTCATTCAGGGTACTGTGAATGTCCTGTGACTCAGCCAAAGACAGGTGACATATTTAATTTATGTACTGAAAGGAGCAGGCATTCGCATGCAGAAAAGCTGAATTTGACAGATTAATGCCAAAGATGGAGGCCTTCTCCGGGTCTTAGGATGCGGGTAGGCTTGTGTGTGTGTGTGTGTGTATGTGTGTGTATAAAGTGCAGAGAGAGTTAGATTTGTGTGTGTCTCTGAACCTACCTGGGCTGTGGGAGGGGTGCCCTCCACCCCCTACTGTATTTTGGATGCTGCTCCGTTTAGGACAGGAAGTCGACTCTGGGTGTTGTGGGTGGGCGAGGAGGAGGCCTGCATCCGGCCTTGGCCCAGGTGGTGCCTGAGGCCAGGATGGTGAAGACGGAGTCCGGGGAGGGGTCTGCAGTTCTGTCTGCTGTAACCAGCCCTTGTTCTTCCCCATCCAAGTGGCTCCCTGACTTCTTGGGAGGGAGGAAGATTCAAGAGGGTTGACATAGTGGATGGCCAAGGCCAGGGCAGCAAAACTAGGTCTAAACCTCACAGTGATTCTGGGCCATCTGGACTCCATGTCCCCAGGGCTGCCCAGACCACCTCTTACCCCGAGTCTGCCCTCAGCCTCCTCTCACACACATCTCCCACAGTCCTCGGCACCCTGCTCAGTCCCCAGCTCCGTGTCTGGGTGTGTTCTCCCGAGACCACCCAGAGAATGGGAGGCTCCTGAGCCACTCCTGACCTCCCTGTTCAGTGAGCTCATCTGGGGTGGCTGCTTTGTGGAGGAGGAAGCTAGTACTGAGAGGTGGGCGATGTCTCCCAAGGCCCTAGAAGGAAGGAGCGGACAAGGACTTGGTGCTCAGGCCACCAGGTCATCAGCCTAGACCTCCCCATCCTTTTGAAGACAGGCAGTCTCCAAACTGTAGGACACTCTGTGCTCCATGAGAGGGCAGGGGCCAAGAGACACAAGGGTGGGAGTCAGAGCCAGGCCTTATAAGCTGAGTCTGGAAGGAGAATGGATGGGACCTGATGTTCATGAAACTCCGTGCAATGTACCAGTCCATGTGTAGAGGCGTCTCCTGAGCCTCACAATGGTCCCATTTCTCCCCCCTTCACAGGTGAGAACAGTGAGGTTCCCAGCCTTAAAAGACATGTCTGGGGTGACGTAGTAAATCAGAATCCCAGGTCTGTCTGCCATCCCAGCCCTTGGTCCTCAGGGAGGGATGGGGGGGGGGGGGGGGGCAGGTACAGCATGGAATCCTAGGAACCTGGGCAACCAGGGTAGGATCCAGGGAAGACCCTGCTTTGCAAGACCACCACTGAGTTATAGGCAGTAGCCAGCCACCAGTTCGCAGAGGCCCCTGCCCTTTTAAGAGTCTTCCTTGGAGGCCACTGATCTTGCTGTCTCAGCTTCAGGCCTTTGCTGAGGCTCACGTGGGTTGGGGGACTTAAGAAGCACTCTTTTGAGTTTCTGCCCTAGAAGCCTGGGGGGCTCAGCTGGACAGGCTCGTACTATGTAGTTAGTGCTCAAAAGCCTTCAGTGGGAAAATGAAGGTTTCAGAGAAGGAAACTGGAGGGTGCGGGCAGCTGGTTACCACCCACCAGGGCAGAACCGTGAGGGCGGCCAGCGGGTGTTCCAGCGGCCAGACGGCCACAACACAGGGCCTGTGGCCTGAAGCCCTCTGTTTCTGGGGTACACCCCCCACCCCACATCACCTCCTGCCTCCCGGTGGCTCTTATAAACGGGGCCTGCCCCATTCGGCGGGGGTCTGGGGCTAAAGTCCCCTTTGGCGAGTCATTTCCCCCTCCGGCCTCACTGTTGCCGGCAGCTGATGGCCCGGGCCAGGGATGCCCAGGCCCGACTGGCCCTTCCCTTCACATGCCCACTGGCAGGAGCCTCCAGTGCCTGAGGGAAGGTCCTGTCTGCAGGGCGGGCAGTGGTGCCAGATCACACACTGGGCCCTGACCCACATCAGCTCCCACACAGATGGGCCCTGGGCCCGGCTCTCTTCTGCCCCTCCTTCCCCGCTGCCTGCAGGCTCCCGGTCGCCCTGTCCCTGTGGTCTGGTCTCAGTCCTGTGATCGGGGCTGATGCCCAACCGTTTGCTTTGTCCTGCTAGGCTGCCTGGGCCAGCCAAGTGCTGGACACTGTTGCCGGACTTCCTCCCTCCCTTCTCGAAGCACCTCAGCCCCTTTGGCCCATCTTTGTCCTGACCCCTGCTTCCAGCCTCGACACTCCGCAGCACCCCATGAGCACCTCTGTCTCCGAAGCAAGTGGTCGGCACCATGAAATGGTCACGGCCAGGCCCTGTGCTGGGCGTCAGGACACTGAGATGTATGGCTCCCGCCTCGCCTCCCAGCAGCAGACCTGCTGGTGGGAACGGCCTCTCTCACAGCAGATTTTCACCAAGCACGCACCGTGTGCCAGGCACTGTGAGGCACCGAGAATGGGGCAGTAAGCGAGACCATATCCTCACTCTTGGAGCTTAGAAAGACACCACGCAGATGAACACACGGTCCATCGAGGGGTTGAGTGGGATGAAGCAAAATGAAGCCAGGTCAGGGAGACTCGATGGCACAGGGTGAGGGGCTTCTCTGTTAAATTCAGGGTGAGCCCTGTGGCCCCCCGGGGGCAGAGGATTCACACAGCCGAGGCAGAGTGGCAGGTAGGCTGGCTCCTGCCTCACCGAGGGCGGCGGTTCTGCCGGGAGGTCCAGCGAAGACCCACTGGCCCAGACTTTCTGCTGGTGAAACCAGGCATCAGTAGTTTTTGAAAAGGTCCCCAGATACCCCTAATGTGTGGCCAGAGGTGAGAATCCCTCAGGTGGGGTCTTGTGGGGCACGGGAGGGGTTCTGGATTTCTTTCTGAGACGGGAAGCCACTGACCTCAGTTTTTCCAGCTCCAGTGAACTTGTCCCAACTGTCCCCAGACAGGACAGGCGGGGCAGATGCCCTTTGTCCACTGCGTTCCGTGCTCATCGTCCTTCCCGCCTCTCCCTCCTGCCCTCCCTCTCTCCTTCTACCTGTCCCCCTCTCCCACTGTTACTGGCTTTTCCTGCCCCCTCCTTCCTCTTCTGGGGGTGGCCCTGGTCACGCTGACACCCAGAGAGCAATCCTCTCACCTGGCCTCTTCCCCCAGGAAGAAGGCTGCGGCCTCTCACTGTCTGCCCCAGCCTCACTCCCCAGAAGAGTTTCCTGATGTCCAGCCTCATCCCTCCCCTGCCCGCTGGCCCATGTCCTGGGACGCCGGCACAGGCACGGAGGCCCGTGGCCATGGCTGTGTGGCAAGCACATGGCTCTGCCCTTTGCCCAAAGCTTCTGGGCCGGCCCCTCACCTTCCCATCTCCTCCCGAGCACCTTTCCTCCCTCTCCTCACTGGTCTGAGGGTCCCGACTCCACGCCGGGCGGTTCCAGGGCCCGCGGTGCACACGGGACTGACTCAGGCCCTCCTCGCAGGTGCTCGGCGCCCCAAAGTCCCCGGGATGTGGTCTTTGCTTCCTCCTGTGAGGGCACAGTCACCTGGGGGAGAGGGAATCAACCATCAGTCATTCGTTTAAAACTTACCAATTCTTTGAAAAAACTCTCGGATACAACAAAAACTCTCCATGCCATCGTGCCTTCCCAGGAGGAGGGACTGGCTGGGCGCTGGGCTCCTGGGGAGGGGTCACTCGCATCCCAGGCTCCACAGTACACAGACCTAGGTTCAAATCCTGGCTCTGCTGCTTGAAAGCTGTGTCACCTCCGGCGCGTAACTTAACCTCTCCGTGCCATGGTTTCCTTTTAAAAATGATAGTGACAACTCCTTTTTCACAGGGTAGTAAGGGTTCCCACCACAGAGTGCCCAGTGAGTGGTAGCATTCACACCGCCCTGCACACACCCACCCCCTCCTCCACCACTGAAACTCCAGCTTCGCCAGGGGTCCCAGTCCTGGCACTAAAATTAGGTCATACTTTTGCTTTTCTTGCTTTCTTCACCCTTGATAAGATCTCCATTACAAGAATGTATTAAGCGTATTCTAACTAAACGATTCTGTGAGGCTTTAAGAAGAGGACCTCTGCCCCAAGTTTTGTTTCCAGAGAGTTTCACCTGCAGCTGGCGAAATGGACGTTCGAAGAGTGGACGGTAAAAAGCATCGGGTCGCAGGTGTCACTCAAAGCGGACCAGTTGCCTTCTGAGACAGTGACCTCTCTGTCCCGAGGGACATCCAGGCAGGGGCTGGGAGGCCGCTTGATGGGAACTCCAGGGGCATGCCCTGCCACCGGGAAGCCTTCCCAGGTTTGGGAGGAAGGGGCCCACTTGAGGTCGGCCTGGTCTGCACTTGGTCTGACCATGTGCCTTGGGTCTCTGCTCTGCCAAGAGGGCAGCAAGGTATAACCAGCCGGTGAGAAGCACTACCCAGAGAAGCCGAGAGAGATGGGGCTCCTGGGCTGGCGAGCACCCTCCCCTTGGATTTCCAGGTGCCTTGGCCTCTTCCTGCTCTGGCCACTCACTCGGAGGCTAGACTTCCTTGGCCTTTGAAGACCTGGGCCTGACTAGGGTGTGGCAACGAACTAACCTGGGATCCCTAAAGCCAAAGCTGATGAGGGAGGGACGGCTACTGCGGGGAAGAGGGGATGGGCCCAGTTCTGTGTCCCGCCTTGGGCAGACACAAGGTTGCCCTCAGCCACCTGTGACCTATACTTCTAGGCAAGTGCTGTACTTGGCAATGGAACTGGCTGCTCAGCTTCATGGCGCCAGAAGATCGGGGAGGGTTGGGGTCCTTAAGCGCGAGAGGCAGTGCAGTGCAGGGTCGAAACTCGATTGCCTCAGCTTGAATCCTGGCTCCACCGCCTCCTAGTTATGGGGCCACGTGCCTCAGTTTCCCTCGTGCGAAATGAGGTTATCATAGAATTAGTGTGGAGATGGAGTTCACGGGTGGAGAGCTCCCAGAATCTATGGCCACCTAGAACACACCACGTAGGCATTGGCTGTTACGTCGCCGGTCCCCCAGGAAGAAGCAGGCCTCACTCACTGGACAGGGAGAGGGCTGCATGGGGCCCAGGGGTGAGTCAAAGCCCTTCTGTCTGCGGGGGGCCACCCATCCTCCCAACTGCCCCCAGATTTCAGAATTTTCATGTCTCTTACCCTAACGGATGTATGTGTTAGACAAAGGACTGTGAGCTGAACAAACGTTATCTAAGTTTTTAAAAAATTCAGACATTAAAAAAAAAATCTCCTTGGCCCAAACCACTCTGTGAAACACTAAAAATTCAAAAATAATTAAAGAGTGCTCTCTGCACAAGGAACTCAGAGTCTGCTCAGGGCCAGATAAGTCCATTCAGAAATAATAACAATATGGCTTCGAAGTGGGCTCCTTTATCTGTGTTCTGCAGATGCCCAGTGATAATCCCAGCGGGTGCGAGCAGCCGGCCTGGGGCCGCTCCTTTCTGCCACCCTCCCTCCCTTCCTCAGCCTCTGCAGGCCGTTGGTCCGGCAGGCCGTGGAGAGTGAGTGGGACCTCCCTCCTGTAGACTCAGTTCCCAGTTGTGAGTGGCATGAATTAGCCTCAAAATGAAACATATGGTAGGAACCTGCTGGAACCCACCCTTCCCCAGCCCCTTCCTTCTTATTCCCTCTGCCTCCTCCAGCTCAGACCTCTTTGGAAGGGAGTACCCTTTACAGCCACATGGTCTTCTTTCTAGGTGTTTCCGAACCCTAACTATCCACTCCTCTTTCTCCCTCCGACCCCCAGAATATGCAAAAGAATGTGGCCGCAAGCTGCAAGGAGCTTCTACACATCTCACTGACCATCCCGCTGCTGTCTCTAAGGGGCAATGCTCTCCCACGCAAGGTGCCCAGGGCCTTTGTGCCCAGCCCCGACTGTCCCTCCCTGCAGCTCCGGGTCCGACAACCCACTGCACACTCTCCACCCTTCCACTAGACCAAAGTCCCACCTTTCCCTGAAGGTGCTTCCTCCTCAAGCCTGTGCACCTCCACCCATGCACGTTCCCTCCGCAGCCCCAGCTCAGTCAGGCTCATTGAGCCTTGGCCAGGTTCCTTTTCCTTGCTGGGGCCCAGGGCTGCTGTCCCTGCCATGGATGGGGGCTGCAGATGACCTTAGAGTGTCCTCCCTGCTCCCAGTTTTACATAAACTGGTCTGTTCCCACTTCAGCATTTTGTAGAAGCCATTTCCCTCTCTTCTTTGAAGCATGTCTCAAACTCT